AAAAAAAAAAAAATTATCTCAGTGACTCTAAGCATGGTTAAATTTGCATCAGATCCCAGTGCATTAGGTAAGTTTCTAATCTGATGTTCACATTCTTTTGATACGCTGTGCTTTGTCATATGCAGCAAACAACACTCTGTTTGTCATAAACAAAATTGTATTTAGGTTAAAAGTACCTGGGACATTTCAGAATTAAACCTCGTTGAAGCTAATTAAATAAAATAATATTTTATCAGTTTTCTTTGTTGGAAATTGAATTTTCATTGCACCTGATTTTGTATATTTTATAGCTTTATAGCTGAAGTGCTATGATTTCTGAATGTTCCAGGGACCATATAAGGCATTGGTTTTTCTTCTGTGTAATTGAAGAGAGGACTAAGATTGTAGTAGGAAGAACGTTATAGCAATCCATATAATTATAGCGTAGTGGTAAAAGAGAATCTAAAAATGATAATGTGCCTAAAGATTAAATAGCCTACTTCTCAGTTTGTGGAATTGGAGCTATTTAACTACATGGGATTGACTTAATTAGTGATTTGATCATACCTGTTAAACACATTAAGTATAGAGGGACAATTATTCTAACCATCCAGAAGATTCTTGTGCACCTGAGCTGGAGAGATCTTTATGATTCAGTCTAGAAATAGTGAGATGCAGGAGTTGTTCTGGAATTAGTAAGGAGCAGTATTGAAGTGTCCTGCTTTTTGAGACCAAAATATCTTTATGAAACAGGATCATGGTTATTTCTTTCCAGTACAAAAAGATTTAAAGAAAATGTTTTGGTTGAACAATAATTCTTTTCAGTTTTTTTCCCCATTTTATTTAGGAAGCATGTAGCCTGTTATTTCAGAAACGGTGGTTTAGTATTTACTGATACTATAAAGGAAGAGAGAACAACCCATGGCCTGCATATGGTCCCTAGGAATCTATTTGCCTCATAGAGGCCTCTTTTCCCCTTTCTTACCCTTGGTTGTCCCCCAAAACCTCCCCAAAAATGAATCAGAAAATTTCAGCCATAGGTATTCTGGGACCATCACTGTATTACCAGATGGCCTCTTATGACTCTTCAGAAAGTTGAGTTGTGATCCCCAGTCACTCAGAAATTACCTACCTCTATGGTAAACGAAATACATTAAAAGTTGTATAGGATGCAATTATCCAAGTAACCTTTCATGGGGACAGCTTGTGTTGGAACCCTTTATTAACATTTCTGATACAAATAAAGATAAGAAAAAAGATAATTAAGCATTCCTAATTTGCACAATAACTCTTCAGCGCTGTTGCAGGGATTTCATTCCACTTGATGATAGAAATAGAATGTACAGAAATGTAAACTATAAACAAAGCAAAAATAATAATTTAACCAAAGTGAATTTCTTTTTCAGTGGTTTGGTGATCTTGTAACTCCAGTATGGTGGGAAGATGTATGGCTAAAAGAAGGCTTTGCTCACTATTTTGAATTTGTTGGAACTGACTACCTTTATCCAGGCTGGAATTTGGTAAGTTTATTAGTGTTTATTATGGATACTTTCCTTTCATACTCTTCATTAGGACCATATTTTAGAGAGCTGTAATTCAAGCATATATTTGTGTGCAGAAGATCCTGTGTTCATTCTCTGGGTTAGCATATCTCAACCTGGTATCACTTGGCTGCTGAGACCAACTCCCAAGCTTCTCAGAGCATGACCTTTGATCATCGTCCATTGGTTATGGTCCCTAACAGTTCTAGGAAGTCTAATCTCAACAGATTTGGAGAAAGACCATTTGAGGAAATCTATTAGAGAAAAATATAGTAAAAAAAGTAAAATCTACTTCAGAAAAAAGGCACTTCTTGAATTTTGGTCACATTCTTCTACAGTGGGGCAAAAAAGTATTTAGTCAGCCACCAATTGTGCAAGTTCTCCCACTTAAAAAGATGAGAGAGGCCTGTAATTTTCATCATAGGTATACCTCAACTATGAGAGACAAAATGGGGGAAAAAATCCAGAAAATCACATTGTCTGATTTTTAAAGAATTTATTTGCAAATCATGGTGGAAAATAAGTATTTGGTCACCTACAAAGTGAAGCATGGGGGTGGAAACATCATGCGTTGGGGATATTGACCAAATACTTATTTTCCACCATGATTTGCAAATAAATTCTTTAAAAATCAGACAATGTGATTTTCTGGAGTGAAGCATGGGGGTGGAAACATCATGCGTTGGGGATATTGACCAAATACTTATTTTCCACCATGATTTGCAAATAAATTCTTTAAAAATCAGACAATGTGATTTTCTGGAGTGAAGCATGGGGGTGGAAACATCATGCGTTGGGGATATTGACCAAATACTTATTTTCCACCATGATTTGCAAATAAATTCTTTAAAAATCAGACAATGTGATTTTCTGGAGTGAAGCATGGGGGTGGAAACATCATGCGTTGGGGATATTGACCAAATACTTATTTTCCACCATGATTTGCAAATAAATTCTTTAAAAATCAGACAATGTGATTTTCTGGAGTGAAGCATGGGGGTGGAAACATCATGCGTTGGGGATATTGACCAAATACTTATTTTCCACCATGATTTGCAAATAAATTCTTTAAAAATCAGACAATGTGATTTTCTGGAGTGAAGCATGGGGGTGGAAACATCATGCGTTGGGGATATTGACCAAATACTTATTTTCCACCATGATTTGCAAATAAATTCTTTAAAAATCAGACAATGTGATTTTCTGGAAGTGGGAGAACTTGCACAATTGGTGGCTGACTAAATACTTTTTTGCCCCACTGTAAGTGTAATGCAATGGAATCTGGTAGATCTTAATAATTTTATTACAGTGAAATGTAATAGACTACATAGGTTATATTCTGTATTTTATCTTTACTGTGTTAGAATAGTTCTACTTATAATTATTCTCAGCAAAACAAAGTAATGGTGTCTAGGAATTTCTCCTGTACCTAAAAATTGATATTAAATTATTTTTACAGTCAGTAACATGGAAATGAAGTTCCTCTAATATTACATTGGAGACTAATAAGCTAATGCAGACACAGTCCTGCTGGTAGTGAGTAGTCATTTAATATGACTAAATGAAAATAAAAATAGGTGATAATCAAAATGTACACAAGCTAAAATTATGGGCGTCACATATGAACAAAAATTGTTGCTTTAAATAGCAACCAGTATAACACTCTAGCAGTAAATATATAGAAATTTATGTTCTGGTTCCGAGCAAAATACTGATTCCACTGTTATGGCCTAAGCTTTTAGAGAATGATTTTTAGTAAAATTGAAAGGCAGAAGTGATGAAAGAAAAAAAAAAGGGGGGGGGAATGCAGTGCAGCTTTTTCCCAAACAGGGGTTTGCAGACCAAATTTTTGCTCTTCAACAAAATAAATAAATGTAAAGTTTAGTATATATCTGTTGATTTACATAAAGTAAATGAATAAAGTGAATATTATTGTTGGTTGCACA